GCAGCAGAGACAACATCAGCAGCAGCAGGAACAACGACACCAGTCACAGTCGACGAAGCACCACCAACACCCGCACAACAGCTGAATCCAACTCAACGCGAAGTCCACCGAAGCGCCAACTTCGTCGCCAGTTTTTTCTCCAACTCCGACGCATACCAACGTTCACCCGGACACCGCGCCTCTGAAGATATCTGGCACGCACGCACAGGACATCCAAGCAATACAGTCTTAAATAGCACGATAAGAGCAGGAGTTCTTGACAAAGACTCCCTACTTCTACTCGACGGCAGAGAACTCCAAAAGGCACGAGGGACTTGCCTTATATGCCCCGAAGCTGACTTACCTCATCGACCGTTCGCTCCACATCACAACCCGAGCGCACCTGCGTACGCACCACTCGAAAAGGTCTACAGCGACATCCTCTACAACCGCGAACCAGGACAAGTCACCTACAACTACACCATTACCTTCATCGACGCCGCCACTCGATACGTCTGGCATCGCAACCTACCCAGCCGCGACATAGCACTCGCAGCATTCGCCGCTTGGCTACCGATAGCAGAGAGAGAATCTGGAACGCAACTGAAAAGTTTCCAGTCAGACGGAGGTGGCGAGTACACCTCTCAGCGCTTCAAGCAGTTCCTGGCGGAAAGGGGGATCAAGCAACTCCTCTCCCTTCCCTACGCACATCAGCAGCAAGGTGTTGCAGAAAGAATGAACAGGACTCTGCAGAACAGCATGCGCAAACTGTTACGTGGCATGCGGCTACCCAACCACCAGTGGCCAGCAGCAATGGACCATGCTGTCATGCTGCACAACCTGCTGTCGTCGTCGTCACTCCCGAACAACGCATCACTGCATCTGCTGTGGACAGGGAAGCAGGGCAGCACAAAAATGTTACGAGTTTTCGGGTGCATGGTACAGTACCGACCCCCAGAAGCACGAGCGGGAAGATTTTCGCAACGGGCACAGTGGGGACTACACCTCGGCATCGAGAAAAATTACAACGCGTGGAGAATCTTCGACGTCCACACAAAAGAAACAGTAGCAGCACGAGATGTGATCTTCTACGAACGACTCACCCTTCAGACGTACCTCGCCAACTTGCGCGAGAATCGGGACCTCACCGGTGGCTTTCGTGGTGACCGAGCCTTCGCGTCAGCAGCGCACGAAGCAGACTGGGATGAACAAAACGTTGACAACGCATCGGAGGAAGCCGGACCTCTTCCGTACTGCTCCGTCGACGTGCCCATGGATGAGGATAATCCTCGCGACAGTAACAACGCCGAAGTCTTCTACCATTTCGCCGACAATGGTTACGTAACACCTGCGACAGTCAACACCAACGAAGCAGAAAGGGTAGGGCCAAATTTCATACCCGACCCAGAAGCGGGAGACGAAGCAGCTTATCCCGAGGATCCAGAACTCCCTCGATACTCACAGACTGGGCTGCAAATTCTTGGTCTCGTCACCGCAGTCCACGGGAACGCCGGCAGCGCTCTTCCTAAGGAGCCTGCGACAGTTCAGCAGGCTCTGGGGGGGGAACACAGGGAGAAATGGCGTGAAGCCATGGACAAGGAATTAAAGGCAATGGAGGAACGCAACACCTGGAAGGTCGTTCCCGCAAGCGTGGCACGGAACAAGACCATTCTCACCGGGAAATGGGTCTTCCGCATCAAGACGAAAGCTGACGGCACAATCGAGAAGTTCAAAGCACGCTGGGTCGTGCGCAGCTTTGACCAGGAGCACGGAAGAGACTACACCGAAACCTTCGCTCCGGTCAGCCGTCACACCTCACTCCGAATCCTCATCGCCATCGCCGCCATGAAATAAAGGAAACTGCGACAAATCGACGTCGCAAACGCATTTCTCTACGCACCTGTGGATGCATAAATCTTCGTCGAGCTCCCACACGGCTCCCACGGTGAACCCAACCAAGTCTGTCAACTGCTTAAGTCGCTCTACGGGATCAAGCAGGCACCGCGACTGTGGCAGCAGTACCTGCACGCCCGTCTCATCCGCATCGGTTTCAAACAACTCCCGCATGACCAAGGCATGTATCGCCTCACAAAGGGAAGCGACTACGTTCTCCTGATCGTCTACGTGGATGATCTCCTCTACATTGGGTCAACCGACGGCATCGCCACGTGGTTCGAAGGGGAGCTTCAGAAAGACCTCACGCTCACGGTTTCTCCTACCGTTACGCAGTACCTCGGGCTCAACATCCGCGAAGAAGAAAACGCAATCTATCTAAGCGCCGAGAAATACGCCGACACCATCGCGAAACGCTTCGGCCTTACACTAAGCGCCCTCTCCACGCCTTACCGCTACACGTCAGGAGCCGAAAAGGAACGATCTACTCTACTCAAGCCCGCCAGCATACGCGGCTATCAGAAGAAGCTCGGATGCCTTCTCTTCGCAGCAGTCACATGCCGTCCCGACTTATCCTACTCCGCGAGTCAGCTCGCCACCCATCTCAAGAAGCCTGAAGTAGAGCATCTGGCGGAACTAGATCGCGCTCTCCACTACTTCGTCAGCACCGCGACGATCGGACTAACTTATCACAAAAACGCAACTACACCGACCAAGCTAATCGGCTACGTCGACGCCGATCACGCCGGCGACACTGATAACAGGCGCTCACGCACCGGCTATGTCTACCGCCTCGAGCCTATCGGTCCTATCTCCTGGCAGTCGAGTAAGCAGGAGTTAATCGCACTGTCTTCAGCTGAAGCGGAATATATCGCACTCTGCTCAGCCACCAAGGAGGGACTTTACCTTCGCGAATTGCTGGAAGAAGCGAAGTTAGCCGAGTTACCCAGCTTCACCGTGTTCTGCGACAACCAGTCAGCAATTCGCATCGCCAACAAGAACGGCTTCGCAAACAGGACGAAACATATCGCCCTGCACTATTTCTTCGTGAAGGACGAGATCGAGAAGGGGAAACTCGATCTGTCATACTGTCCCACGTCTGAGGTGGCAGCCGATTACTTGACCAAGAAGCTCGGAAAGCAGAAGTTCGAATACTGCATGATGCTGACTGGACAAGGCCACGTCACCAGCAGCGACACTCCAGAAGCGAAGGGGAGTGTTGGGAACAATAAATCCTAAAAGCGCCTCTGTCGTGTCAAAACCCAAGACACTAGCGAAGCAGTCCGAATCGAAGCATCGAGTCAAACCTCGGAGGTTAGGGTAACCGCCTGGAGGTTAGGGTAACCGCCTGGAGGTTACGGGAAAGTCAAAGGTCAGCGACCTTTGACTCGACAACTACAGCGCGACAGCAAGGACACACAACTGACTCGACATTGAGCAGTTGCCCGAGTCGCACTGTATCGAATCGCAACAGTAAAACGGTTTTAATCTATCTATTCGTATTCCTTGTACTCTTATATAAACCTTGTATTTGCTTGTTTAATCTAATCTACTTTGCTCTCACACACTAGTGCAAGGTCGGTTCACAAGTTTCATTAAACGCTTCCGCTATTACAAATATCCTACCCAGAGTTATCCTCTGCAAAGATCCTTAGGGCTTTCTCAGCCCAACACCCCACCTCCTCTCATCATTCCTCTCCTCTCCCCTCTCTCTCTCTCTCTGCCGTATCCTCCTCCTCGCATTCCGCTCTGTTGTCTTCCGCTGCGCAGGGTGTACTCCTTCCGGGGGTGCTATGTACATGGCTATTCTTGCATGCAGTTAGGGGGTGTGTCAGAATATATTTTTCTGTGTAACTGCATGTAGTTCTAGCTGTACTGCAGTTCTATCGCTGTCCTGTTAGATAGTGCACCCTTTGGCTTGCTATACCTTGTAACTCTTCTCATAGTGAACACACATTCTCGTTCAGTATTCTGACACTTGAGGACAGACTGATTGCCCGTAAATGCAGGCAGACAGATTCGGAGGAGCGGGAGGCGACGGAGGAGCAAGAGGAGCAGGTGTTGCAGATGGCGTAGGAGGTTGTGGTGGCTCAGGAGGCTCTAGTGGGACACGGCTATACCAGCCGTTTACAGACGACTCGTGCATGACGTTCTTAGAAGGGGGAGGGAGGGGGGGTGGGGTTGGGGCGAGGGGTGGGGGGGGTGTTAAGTGGGTTTACTCTACACCGCGTACAAATTCAACTTTAAAAAGACCAGGCTCGGTCCTATGACATTGCCTCCTAAGCTGGGTTGCAATGCTTTCAGACTTGGCATCCCATATTAACGCCCAGCCTCTAATTCTGAGGTCCATGCCAAACTAAGATCCCTCGCTATATATGTCCTATTTCTCATGTGTACAATGTGATCACTTCTTTATTAACACCACTCACCACTCTTCCCACTCTTTATACCTCTCACCACTCTTCCTACTCAAAACATAACACCTACGATGTAACGAACCCTTCTGTACCCCATGCGGCGAACAGAAACCAACCCGCTCGATACCCCTGGAAAGCACACGTGTCTCAGCTGCAGCAGTTACCCAGGTTGACGGATGTCGTCAACTCATTTTGCGTGACAGCGTGTCGCTTTCGTGAGAGTACCCTTCGCAGTGGTCTCGCAGTGGTTCTTGAGGGGAGAGACCCTTCCTGGAAATGACTGGCGGCAAGGGTGCTCGTCAGCAGCTGGCCGAGAAGAGCCAGCCACTCCCCGCCTCGTCCCTCCCCGAGAGCCCCAACCCACCCATCACCCCATTCGACCTCTCTTGCCTTGTCACTCCTCCCTCCACCAGTGCGCGCACCGTCGAGCTCCTGGATCGGCGAGCGTGCATCGAGCATGTGGGGCAGCGCTCTTTCTTGCGCTCACTGCATTCACGTGTATCCATCATCTCTCGCATCCATGTGTTTCACAATCTTGTCTTGAATTTGCTTCGCCGCTATACGCGCTAGCGTGCCGCTTTTTATACGTAGGACTTTGCGCAAGCGCTATTCTCCGCTGCTCGACTGCACGCGGGCCACGAGAAGAAGCATCTGCTAGTGAGATTCCAGAGCTGCGTTCCGCTCTGAGTGCGCGCGCGGCGGCGCGGCATCATGTGGTTCCTGATGTGGCCCGTGGCGGCGGTCGTGGGCGCGGCGGGTGTGTGCGCGGGCCGCGTGGTGTACACCAACCAGCTCCTGCAGCGCCAGCTGCGCGTCTTCCGCGTCGCGCTGCGCGTCTTCCTCGACTACAAGGTGCGCGCGCTGCGGTCCCGCCCTGCCCCCGCGCCCGCCCCCGCCTCGTCCCGCCCGGTCCCGCCCCGTCCCGCCCCGTTACCCCGCGCCCCTCCGTGTCCCGCCGTGCCCTCCCGCTGCCATGCGCGTGACTTCGCGAATTTCTAGCGTTTATTTTTCATAGCGGGCTCGCCTGGAGGTGAAACGTGACTGTGGCGCCCCCTTGACCGCACATAGTCAATCATTCGTCCCCTCCGGTTCTTATGCTTCGAACATTGCGGGCTCGAACGATCGGGTCCCTTAAAAAACGGCACTGTAACTCCGAGCCAGCCGGCAAAATTACTACAAAGCGGGGTCCAGGCTAGAAAAGGCTTGATAGACCTGAGCGCCACCGTTTTTCGCGGGGTGAGGGAGGAGATGTGAGCGATTTTGGTGGAAAATTCACGTCTGATCACAGAAGCATCGTTCCTGAAATCCTTGTTCGAGCTAGCCTTCGATGCAGTTGGATTCACATGGTTTGGAGGATTGTGGTTGGAGGGAGGAAGAGGGGGGTAGTGGGGGAAGGGGGGTAAAGAGGGACCTCGCGCGACTTGGAAAGTTGTTACTGTGTGTGGAGAAAGCCGCGCGCCTACGTTCCAGGTTTGAATGCGCCTGGGAGGGGAGGGAGGGAGGGAGGCCCGATTGTTCTGAGAATACCGCTAACCCACTTATTGAGTGGGAGGAGAGGAGAGGATGGCCTTGGAGCGAAATCGTAGAGGCAATCATAGCCTGATCACTGCCTTGGATTTTGGATTTTGTCTCAAGCATGCTGAATTTATGGAAGTTAGCCTTACACTGTCGAAATCAGGGTCGCTCCAGAGTAATATATGTTTTTCCTTGAATCAGAGCAAGGTGACTGGCCTGTAAGCATAGACCCTGATCCTCACGCTTTGTCTCGCAAACCCACCCTTTCGCCACGCTTCCCCCCTTCATTCATTCCCCAGCTGACGCAGTACTATCTCACGTACGTGTGCGGTGCGCTGCTGCGCCTGCGCGTGGACGACTCATCCCCACGCTCCGTCACCACATGGCAGCGTGCACACAAGCGGTGTGCGCGCAGCGTGTATGCGGCGATGGTGCAGCTGGAGGGGCTGTGGGTGAAGGTGGGGCAGTACCTCTCCACGCGCGCTGATGTCATGCCGCCGCCCTACCTGGACTTGCTGCGCCTGCTGCAGGACACTCTGCCGCCCAGAGACATGTCTGAGGTGCGTGGTGGTGTGGTGGGCTTGCGTGAGCGCGGGGTGGGGGACGCATGGGGGCGAGATGGTGTGCAGGGGAGGGGAGGGGAGGTGAGGCATGGGGAGGGATGAGGGGAGGGGGGGTTGGAAAGCCGGTTGGAGGGAGCATGTGGTGCGCCCATTGTCACTGCTTGTGCATCCGCCCTTCCCCTTCCCCCTGACCCACCCAACCCCCCCTTACCCCCACTATCGTCTATCTTCAATCTTTTTCCTCAATTCCTGCGGCCATTGTCACTAGTACTACTTGTGGAATGTTGTCATTGCGCTCGTGCACTACCCTCATCTTCACCCCACACCACACAGCCCCCTCACCCACACACTGGCAACACCCACCACCAGACCACTCCTGCCAAGCACTCGAAAGGAACGCGGCAGAGAAGCAACGGCGCAGCAGCATTAGCGATGGCTGGCTGGCAGCGTGCCGTGGATCTGGTTGCTACATGCGTGTGGCCACTGCCCACGCTCTGTGCACTGCCCACGCTCTGTGCACTGCCCACGCTCTGTGCACTGCCCACGCTCTGTGCACTGCCCACGCTCTGTGCACTGCCCACGCTCTGTGCACTGCCCACGCTCTGTGCACTGCCCACGCTCTGTGCACTGCCCACGCTCTGTGCACTGCCCACGCTCTGTGCACTGCCCACGCTCTGTGCACTGCCCACGCTCTGTGCACTGCCCACGCTCTGTGCACTGCCCACGGCCACGCTCTGTGCACTGCCCACGCTCTGTGCACTGCCCACGCTCTGTGCACTGCCCACGCTCTGTGCACTGCCCACGCTCTGTGCACTGCCCACGCTCTGTGCACTGCCCACGCTCTGTGCACTGCCCACGCTCTGTGCACTGCCCACGCTCTGTGCACTGCCCACGCTCTGTGCACTGCCCACGCTCTGTGCACTGCCCACGCTCTGTGCACTGCCCACGCTCTGTGCACTGCCCACGCTCTGTGCACTGCCCACGCTCTGTGCACTGCCCACGCTCTGTGCACTGCCCACGCTCTGTGCACTGCCCACGCTCTGTGCACTGCCCACGCTCTGTGCACTGCCCACGCTCTGTGCACTGTCCACGTCAACCCGCCCATCAGCCGTCCCCCTCCCCCCCCCCCCCACCAGGTACTGGGCACAATAGAGGAGCAGCTGGGCAGCCCGCCCTCACAGGCCTTCTCGTCCTTCGACCACCAGCCACTCGCCACTGCCTCTGTGAGTGCGCCCTTGCTGCCTGTCTGCCTGCCTGCCTGCCTGCCTGCCTGCCTGCCTGCCTGCCTGCCTGCCTGCCTGCCTGCCTGCCTGCCTGCCTGCCTGCCTGCCTGCCTGCCTGCCTGCCTGCCTGCCTGCCTGCCTGCCTGCCTGCCTGCCTGCCTGCCTGCCTGCCTGCCTGCCTGCCTGCCTGCCTGCCTGCCTGCCTGCCTGGCCCCACTGCCACGCGCGCACCCATGGCGCCATGTGTCCACCATGCCCCGGCTCCCACTTGCCCATGCATGCCGCATGCACATGCACTTGCACACCTGCACCGTTGGGTCTCCATGCTTCCGTCCTCCCAGCCTTCCCGCACCCACTCACGCCCTGCCCGTTGCGTCTGCTGTTGTTATCCCCCCTCTGACAACCCCCATGCTTCTCGCTTTCGCGCTGTTCCCCGCCTGTCGACTTATCCCTCACCGTCCACCCACCCACCACCTGCCGCTGTGTCGTGTCATCCATGCATGTGCACGTGCGCATGTGTGGGATACCTGTTTGTGCATGCATGCGACTGTGCATGTCTGTCTGCATGTGCTGTGCGTGCACCATGCACATGTGTGCGCCCATTGCCACGCGAGTGGCCTTGCAGATAGCGCAGGTGCACCGGGCAGTGCTGGCGAGTGGGCAGCAGGTGGTGGTGAAGGTGCAGCACGCGGGCATCAAAGAGAAGATTCTGCAGGTCCGTGCACCCCTGCCGCGCCCAGGGCACACAGGACTAGGGAGATCAGGGCGCCACACAGAGGCGTGGCTGGGGTTGATAGGGCAGCTGTGATGTCTCGTCTTTGGGGGGGTTGCATCGGGCGTGCTGTCATGAGATGATGACTGTGGCAGTGCTGGCAGAAGAAGGGAAATGGGAAGGGGGGAAGGTTCCAGGCTGCAATTATGTAGGTGGGCCTCTGGCAAAGCCAAACCGGCCAACTCCGCATAAGTTAACTGTCTGTCTGTCATCCCTCGCGTTGTTGCTTCGCGAACTTTTCATAGCCCGTCCCTCTCACCGCGTGCTCCTCACTCCCACCTCCTCCTCCTCCTCCTCCTCCTCCTCCTCCTCCTCCTCCTCCTCCTCCTCCTCCTCCTCCTCCTCCTCCTCCTCCTCCTCCTCCTCCTCCTCCTCCTCCTCCTCCTCCTCCCCCTCCCCCTCCTCCCAATCCCGCACGTGCCCCTGCTCTCCCCCGGCCACCAGGACTTCAGGAACCTGACGACGATAGTGGAGTGGTTGGCATGGGCGGAGCCGGAGTACGACTTCAAGCCCGTGGTGGGCGAGTGGGTGAAGGAGGTGCTCAAGGAGCTCGACTTCCGCCTCGAAGCAGGTCTGCTCTGCTCTCTCACGCCCGCTGCCACACTTGCTGCTCCCACGCCTGCCGCGCCCTCCCCTCTTGGCAAAGTCTTGCTTTCCCTCGCTCCCTCCTCCTCTCCCCTCCTCCATCCACCCTCTCCTGCGCCTGCCCACGCCTCTGCCCTCTCCTCGCTCCACCGGTGGGTGCACTCATGCATCTCACCGCGTTCACACTCCCCAGTGCCCATCCATACTCCCCACTGCCCATCCATACTCCCCACTGCCCATCCATACTCCCCACTGCCCATCCATACTCCCCACTGCCCATCCATACTCCCCAGTGCCCATCCATACTCCCCACTGCCCATCCATACTCCCCACTGCCCATCCATACTCCCCACTGCCCATCCATACTCCCCACTGCCCATCCATACTCCCCAGTGCCCATCTATACTCCCCACTGCCCATCCATACTCCCCACTGCCCATCCATACTCCCCACTGCCCATCCATACTCCCCACTGCCCATCCATACTCCCCACTGCCCATCCATACTCCCCACTGCACCCCTCCTCGCAACCCCCCACCCTCTGACACCCTTTCTCTCCCTCAGCCAACCTGGAACGAGTGGCGCGCAACTTCAAGCAGCACCAAGTGGAGGGCGGCAGCAGCACAGCGCCAGACACAGGAGAAGCGAGCAGCGATGGCCTGGCGGTGGAGGCGAGTGTGCCAGCAGTGGTGCGCGCCACAGAGCGTGTGCTGGTGATGGAGTTTGTGCAGGGCGTGCGGCTGAGCGACCTGCCTGCACTGGACGCGCTGCATGTGGACCGGCAGGTGCTGCTGAACCGCATTGCACGGGCATACGCGCACCAGATCTACGTGGGCGGGTTCTTCAATGCCGACCCGCACCCAGGTGGGTAGGCTTGTGAGCTTCAACAATTGTAAATTGCCTTGCCACAACGCTCAACTGCATTGCACATGCCTGTCTGCGCTCACTAGATCTACGTGGGAGGGTTCTTCAACGACCCGACCCGCTTCCGTGTGGGTTCTTCAATTGCCTCAAAACTGAACCGCTTTTTTATGCGCCTGCACAGCAGATCTATGTGTGGTTGTTCTTTCATGCTGACCCGCACCCAGATGGGGCGGAGGGAGGGAAAGGGTGGTGGGAAGAGCAGGGGATGGGAAGGGGAGGAAGGAGGTCGATGTGTGAGGGGAAGGCAGTGGAGGAGGAGGTTGGGGAAGGGCGGGTGCAGGGCGATGTACATGCATGTGCATGCGGTGGTGCATGTGTGGTGACTTCTGAACAAGGCAGGGCATCGGTGGGTGGGTGGGAGGATGCGTGGTAATCAAGCGGCTTCCCTGGGCCTCAACATGCAGAGAACGCTGTGAGAGTTGCATTGCATCTATCCATCTGTGAGGGTCTCCACATGCCAAAGCCAAATGCACGCTACTTCCCCTTGCACGTATCCCCCTGTGCTGTGCGCTTCTCCCTCTCTCCATCATCCCTCTGTCCCCCCTGGCACCTATCCCACGCAGGCAACTTCCTGGTGAGCGATGAGGCGCCCCACCTGCCAGTGCTGCTGGACTTCGGACTCACCAAGGCTGTCGACCATGCCAAACGCGTCGCCCTCGCCAAGATGCTGCTTGCTGCCGCTGAGGTGGGAACGGGGGGGAGAGGGAGAGAGGGAGAGAAGGAGTGAGGGAGAGTGGAGTGGCAAGGAGAAAGGACCATTGGAGAGAGGAAGAGAGGGAGAGGAAGAGAGGGAGAGGAAGTTCTGTGTGAGAGGAGTGTGGGGCGGTCGGGTGCGTCCGTCTTGTGCGTGCCTTTGCTCATCTGCTTCCTGTCCTGCCCATCTGCGCCCTCTCTCTCTCCGCACTGCCCGCATCCCGCCCCGCAACCCCCCACTTCCTCCCTCACCTGCCCCTGTCCCCTCGCCTACGCCTTCTTCTCCCCGTGCCACCCACCGCGTGTGCATGCGGCAGGGAGACGTGGCGATGCTGCTGAGTGCGTTCAGTGAGATGGGGTTGAAGCTGCGAGTGGACCTGCCAGAGGACGCCATGGCTGTCACTGCCTTCTTCTTCCGCACTGCTGCCCCCGCGCCCCAGGCCAAGGTGCGGTGGGAGGGTGGGGGGACACACATGCCATGTGGGGGGGAGAGTAGGCAAGCGGGAAGTGACGGGCAGGGTGGGTGGGTATGGGGCTGTGGGGGCGCTTGCTGCTCTTGGCACTTGCGGTTGGTGGTGCTGGGGTGATGGTCAGGGGAGAGCGATGAGTGGTTTTCTCATATTTTTTCAGGAACCAGCTGAGGCAAGTGGGGGGGAAGGGAGCATAGGCATGGTGATGAGGTGGCATGCGTGCATGGTGACTGTATTTGCCCGCTCAGTCACCATGCACACCCTGAAATACCTATGGGTTTCGCATGTAGGCGGGTGTGTTTAATGGAGGCAGTCTCTTGAGAGCCGTTTACCTTCTCAAGGCAGGCAGACCCCTCTTTGCTCTTCACTTCTTGATGGCGCATTCTATCCAGTTTTGCGTCTGACTAATCGTCAGGGGAATCATTAGGCGGATTTTATCACAGTTTTGTGAATCTGCGAGGTTCAGTGGGAGGTTGGCCTGTAGGAAGATGCTGAAGCCTTCCGACAGTGCAAGGGCACGGTGTACATGACTTCTCGTTTGGTTCATCACGTGCTTTCAAAGAGGGCTAGGTTGTTAAACGCGAAGGAATGCAGTTGTGGTGTGTGAGATGGCTCATGTGTCTCTCTTGTGTGTGGTACTGCCTCATGCACCATTGTCCTCCTTCCCCTCCTTCCCATCCTTCCCCTCCTTCCCCTCCTCACACCAACCTTGTCCACACACTGTGCCACCTCGACTCGTCCTGACTGTATCACCTCTTCTTGTGTGTGTGTGTGTGTGTGTGTGTGTGTGTGTGTGTGTGTGTCTGTGTGTGCGTGTGTGTGTGTCTGTGTGTGTGTGTGCGTTTGTGTGTTTGTGTGTGTTTGTGTGTGTTTGTGTGTGTGTGTGTGTGCGCGCGTGTGTGTTTGCGTGTGTGTGTGTGTGTGTGTGTGTGCGTTTGTGAGTTTGTGTGTGTCTGTGTGTGTGTGTGTGTGTGTGTGTGTGTGTGTGTGTGTGTGTGTGTGCGTGTGTGTGTGTGTGTGCG